GTGTCGCGGAAGTTGTAAACTGCTGTCGATCTTGCTGTGACCCCCTAGGAAAAGGTTATGCCCCGCCCTGTAGAGTCAGCACAGGGGGGTGGGGTAGCAGATGGTCAAGGCAGAAGCTTGCATGCGTGCCCAGTTTTTGAACCTCAGTCATTAATTCCATTCCATGCCTTTATATAAGAAATGGATATTATGGATTTGAACATTGATTGTTAAGGCACACTGGATTTTTAAGATCATTAATTTCTGCAATTCTACTCAAAATGTTTATTGCATTAAACTTTATCAACTGAATTCAATATTTAATATTGTGTTTATTTAAAAAATAAACATAAATGTCCCACTTTTGCATTCAGAAAGATGCATAGAGGTGTTTTTGATTTGTCTTCATTCATTTGCATGTTTGGGTTTTGATTCCATTGAATGAAATTGGACTTGAACATGTCTGTCCTTTAGAATTGCACACTAAATATATATATGGTTATTGAAATGTAAAGAGGTTCCAAAATTGAGATACTGAAAAACGTTTGTATAAAACAACAGTATATTTTTATTTTTGTGAGGTTAATGATTATTGGAAGACCATGAAAAGGGTAATTACGCAAAATAATTTAACAATCATTGTGGTAGCCATCCATTGATAAATGGCTCAATTTTCCAGGTATAGATTATATTAGGATATTTCACATACCTGTTTGGAGCTGTAATGCTTTTAGACCAATGTAGTAGAAATAAATCCAAACAAGAAAATATGTTTAAAATGTGTGCACCATGTTAATTATCTTTTCATTTTGAAATTTACAGCTTTTCTTCATCTTAATTGAATCTCTTCTGAACAAGGCTAATTTGTTTCTAAGAGATATCCTCAATGAGATGAATGCAATGCATTACATTAATATTCATAGAGGTTGAAACGCAGAGGAGGGCTAATAGCTGCCCTCAGAATGGACAAACTTGCAAAAGCAGCATAAAGAATTATTACTTCCCAATATTTGGAGATCATACTTTTGTTACTACAATTAACAAAGTGGCAGTTGCTTTTATTTTCAACCACATCATAGTCCAGTTTATATTCAATTTGCGGTCAAGTACATCTCCAGTATAAGTTTCACAAGCATCTTTGCCAAATCAGATATCCACCACCCTATTCCAATGCATCTGATTTTTCTAAACCCGGACAAGACCGAGTGGCTGTTGTGCTTCCCCCCCAACAATTTGGCTAATATACCAACGCTTAGGCTGGGGGGTCAAATTTTA